TGGAAATAAACAGAGTTAACCAAACAAGTTGTCTGTAGCCATTCAGATACATGCAGTGGGACACGGTTGGCTACCTCAATTAATGACCACCTGTGCCCCAATCCAGCCACGATTTTGTTGTGGTTTCGCCGGATCACGTTTCATCCATTCCTAATTATCAATTTGTTGAAAATAAAAGACGCAATAAGTCGCTTTACTCTGTGGGAGCCCAATTCAGTGTGTTTTTTTGGTACCGTTTTAGACTTCACTATACACAGAAGGTGTGGCGGAATCAAGTTCAAACAAGTTTTAGGCTGCCCCCGAATCTCTTGTCTAGAGCCAGGTCTAGGTCTTCGCTCCATTGGAAATGCGTGGAGACGCGCAGATAATAGACCTAGCCGTAGCTCTGGAAGCCCGTTTCGGACACGGCCTTAGTTTTACAGCAATTTGAGTGCCACATTCTAAGGTCTTTAGAGTCCTATGTGCAGCTGATTTTGAGATCGATCCCTTCAATATGTACCGTCGATCCCCGATATTTTACTGCCGGCTCTGGGCACGGGTTTCATGTAGTTGTCGAGGTTATTGACCTAAAAGGAAGCAGCAAATGTTTATCACTAGAGCCGTCTCGAATGTCGTCATCAGGAAGATTTCCTTGCGTACGGGTGACCATGAAAATCTTGTATTTCCTGTTTTGTTTCTGGTAGCACCCGGATGTGTACGAGCGAGCCGTTCTCCGGAAACCGCTTGTGAGGCCATTCACAGCCTCCGTAGATCTCTGGAGCATAGGCGTAACTCTCTTTCATGCAGCTACGGGGGTGCTCCCCTTCAGACCATACGGGGGCCGAAAGAATCGAGCCACGATGTGAGTCTTTATTATTTCAAAACAAGGCCATTAGAAGATGAAGCTTTACCCGATTTCATGGAGTGTGGGAACTGCTTGGAGAAGTGTTTTTTTATTGGTACTCGTTGGTAACTGAAGGTATCCCATAGTTTTGGGGTCACTTTATTAGGCACTAAGGTCGACGACCAGCTAGTAAAATGTCATGTATAGGCTATGTCAGGAATTAAGTTCACTGCAAACACCACTACTCAACATCTCTCCCATCCTTTCACGTGTCCTCGGTGGTGTTTATAGAGCTCTTTGGTTTCGCTAATTCTTAAGCCATTAGTCTGTATATGTTGGGGAGTCAGACTTCGACGAGCCTTAACCCCATGCTCAAGAAGAGTGTCAATATTTCTACCTTTTGGTGAATGGACGTAATCAGAACATCCCAGCCCCCCCCCCCTGAAAAAAAAACTCTCGATGACCCTTTTGCACTTTATCAGTTCGACAGCCGACACCACATCTTACTGCATCCATTTTGTGGAAAGGTATATACGAAAAACAGTCCGACACATCTAGTGAATTGGAATGCTCTTGAGGCACAACGTTGCATTTTACATTTCCCGTAAAAATGCAACGTTAATTTCGTTATTTAGTTGTTTGAATCCACACGACGTTGGGACAAACAAGTTGAATGTTCGGACATATGTGTCTTTGTTTCGCCGAGATTTTCATCGGATCGACACAAGTCTGATTTAAGAATGAAAGCAAAGTGATTTTATTGGAATTATTCAGGGTTCGTTATTATTCCCTTTTAAAATCGCGTGTGCCTCTTTACTATTTTTTTTTACATTGGACAGGCACCAGATGACCACCCTTAAGGCATCCGGAATCATCTCTGGCGTTCAAAGAGACTCCGAGAATGGTCGAATCGAATGGAGCAGGGAATTACCTAAGACAACGCAGATGTCACAGTGAGGGTCTTTTGAAAAATTTCCATCAGTTTCATTTTAATTTGGGCTTATTGTTGAGCAATAATTGTTATCGTGTAGCTACTCCAAAGCCCCATCGCCACTCCAATTAATTCCGTTTGAATTCCTTTACATGCACTTTGGAAATGAATTGGACTTGTTGATTCGAAGTCACTGTATTAGAGAGGCTTTCATCTTACTGTAAACAAACTTACCGTCAGCGTTTGCGTCACTCACAATTAAATTACATCGCGACGTAGGGCTGTTATTTTAATCAAGCATCAATTTTTAAAGTGAGGTATACATTAATTTAAAAAAATTAAATCTATCCTTTGAATGTTCGTTTCTCTTATTCATTTTCGAAATGTGCACTTATCCTTTAGTTGGTTTTTGGAGACTATTTGTATATTCATAAGCCGATGTTTTCAAACAGGAAAATCTGCATTGTGGAGTTTGTCTTGCACACGGTCTTTTGGCTCAACAAGAGTTGCGTTAGCCAAATCAATATCCCAAAGGACCCGTGGACTTCCACAGGACTTAAATGTAGTCGGTAAACCAGAATTAACGCTGTAACCATGTTTTGTTTTCTCACAATTTCAATTCGTTCACCAATACAGAGGCCTGCGCCTTCTTGTTGAAGAAATGCTTGCTGGACTACTGGAAAGCGACGTGAACAGGATGTGGTCTTTCAAGACATTTTTTGACACCGCTCAGGCCATCGTGAACATGACTGTAGTCGATGTTTTCTACGTTGTGACGTCACAGCTCCTCAAGATTTACATTGATCCCACTCATTCGTAAGAACTATTTACTCCGTGCAATGTTTATTTTTGAAAAGATGTACTTCAGAAAGACCTTTATTTACCGAACAATGTCTCAACAAAGAGCTATCATTCCAACCTGAGCTACCCTTCCTTTGTAGCTGTAGGCCAGCATGAACTTGGCACGACTGTAGCAGTCTGAAATTCAGTAGGTGTGCTGATACACCCAGACATTACACCACTCTAACATCCTCCATCCACACTCAGGCGAGCCTGCTTTGGAGCTGGGAGCTCTTCTATCAGTGGAGCGTCCTCATGCACTTGGGATTCGGCCAGAAATCGCCCTATTTAAACTTAGACTTTTCCTTTTCAAAGCTCGACCTGAACATGTGTCAGGAGATTAACTTTCTGCAGTGTAGTCGAGTGAACAATATACAATCTGGAACTCTTTAAAACTTCTGAAATCAGCTTCTACTGCTACGCCAGACACTTAAGTGAAGTCAGTTACTGTGTTCAGATTACAAATTAGTTCCTTAACCATAGAATCAGTTAAGCCTAGACTGACATCACACAGAGTAGAATAGAGTAGATTAGATCAAATGCTAAATGTGGAAGATCGTTTGGTCACGGACAACACTGGAAATTTCTTCACTCTTAAAAATAAGACGACATTTTGTGAATCATATCATCGCATAAAAGCACACGGGTTTTGTTTGGCTTAAAATTTATCATTTCATATTTTTCTCCAGTGTGGGAGAGTGGCAAGCGATCAGTGTTGTTTACAGAGCCTGTTTAGTTGGAAAATTAGTCCCGTTCGCTGTCCGAACAGTGCGAGAGAAATTCTGCTTGGTTTCGAAAAAAATCCAATTGTCCGAAATTTTCTAAGTGCTTTAGCATTCGGGAGATACCTCCAAATTTATTTTTCTACGTGTATTTTACCACAGAATGGCTTTCATATCTGCAGTTGATTCGGATTTTAGCTTCCGATTATGTCGAGACTTGTCTTGACAAAAATCAAAGTGAGGCATCATGTCTTTTGCAATATTAAGTTTCGAAACTCAACTATTGCATCATGTACAGGAGTTGCTCATGTGCTATTGGAAGAACATAATGGCTGCCTCGCCATTGATGTCATGGTCAACATGGGTACGTTCCAGTGACGACTGTTTATCGGCCAACGGGTGATTTTACCCAGCAATTCTTTGCTCAAAATACATCCCTGGTAACAGGCAAGATTGACTAGTGGTTGTCACTCGAACTTGCCCACGGTTGTCCCTATGGTCGCCAGGCCAGAAACCAGATTAAAAATAAAATAAAAGGTGTTGGCTGTTACAGACTGGGTCACTTTATCTTGTACAACTTTTTTCCCCAATTGTTAATGCAGATTTGCCGAGTTTCAGGAAAAAGTTGCCATGCAGACGTCATTGCAGTCCGTAAATCAGATGCACATCTTCGAGCACGCCATATTTTACCCAGAATCCAACGTGCCCTCCAAGGAATTCCCGGAGACAACACCATCCAATCCCATCTTTCTCTTCAAGAACACTTTCGATGGCGCTGTCTCACCAGTTGCCCCAGTTTGCCGTAAGCAATAGACCCAATGCCCGTAAGGCTTAAGCGCAGTGCTGCAACTCATTCACACTATACCTATTCACCGTGATCTTAGTTTTAAGATCAGTGTCAGGTTCTCTTTAATGACATCACTGACGAAATGAGTTTAAGCCAAACTTGTTTGTGTGCAACAGCTATATGCCTCTTGGCTTTTTTGACAATTGTTTTCGTTGTTTGATTGCTGAGGGTATCATTTGAGACATGGTGATGTTTCCAGGGTCAACTTGTGTTCCGTGCGGACATCAGTATACATTATTTCCATTCGTAGTATGCTGATTTACTCGTTGCTTGTAATCCACTCAGGTGCGTAAATAAGGGATGACTCTAGTTTTCAGAGCAACTCCTGCCTTCGGTCATCCAACGGTCTACATTATACTGGAAGGGCATTAGCTGCTTACAATCACTCTCAAAGGTAGGAACTGCTTTTAGGGTCACCTAAGAATTAAGCGATGTTCTTGGTGTTTTTTTCGTTACAGCAAACATACCAGATGTTCAGTCCAGATACTCATTGGGCACTGATGCCCCATCGACAAAGGTGAGTTGGAGAAACAGAATTGCGCACTGTTTCACGCATTTTAAAACATGGAAAACTGACCAAATATTTCAGCAAGAAAGAATATTTCTTTTTAATATGCCACCGATATGTGAAGTTTGTGCCCTTATCAATTTTTGATACTTATGGTTGCGATAACCGTTTTCATGTCTTATCACTTTCAGAAGAGCATTGCCGTCCACTTCTGCCTCAAACGGAAACAAGAATTTCTTCTGTTGATGCAGATACTTCAGAACATGGCTGTAAAAGCCTTTACGTAAGTCAAAAGAGCATTTCTCGATCCGCTTGACGATGACTCTTATTTTTTCAAGCTTCTCTACTTTTTTCAGCACAGTCGTGTCTTACTCTTTTGCGTCTCGAACAAATGATGCAATTGATGGCGTATTCGGGAAGATAAACCCTTTTCTCATTGGTCCATTCTTTTACCAGTCAGGTGGTCAAAGACGAGGTGAACCACATGTGTTACCACTTGAACAAGCTGGAAACCACCAACAAAATGTTGCCGGTGGTAGTGGAGGGCCTGCGCTCTCGCATCGAAACCGATCGGCAGCTTGGACGGTGTTGCCAAAGTATCGCCAATGGGAATAAGACGCGTCTGGAAGTTAAACTACAGGATCTTGAGGTCTTAGGGGGCGAGATCACTGAAGCGATTGCAGAAGTCCGCAGGGTAATTATGGCTAATTTCAACCAGTAGTAGCTATAACGGTGTTGTGTCAAACAGGATGGCGGGATAGCCTCGCTGCTAAGATAACCCGGAGCCGACAAGGGACGCAATATTATTCAATTCAATTTTATCTTTTCCAGCTTTCACTACAATTCGAAGAAGAGTCCAGAAGGCTAAATGTCATCAAGTGTGAGGTAGTTGATAGAGATGCCCTGAAGGAGGCATGGAATAAGCAGATCCTGCCCCAGTGCCAGCCAAAGGATAAATGGTAAACCAACTTGGGAAATGAATTCAACAGCTCATACGATAGAGGAAACCTGTAATAAATGCTTTACGTCAGTCTACCGTCAGACATCGTCGCTTGTGTAGTTTATTGCGGTGGCCTGTTCTTACCATATTCATTTAACCGCCTGGTTTAGAGTGGTTTCTCGGTATTGCTAGTAATACATTTTAGACATTTGTTCACCCCTGTCCCTTTCGTCTTTCTTGTTTTGCATAGTCATCTTGTATGGATCTCTGTCGTAGTTCATAACCTACTAAGGTAGATCCCAAGTTGGCACATATCCGTCGTAGCAATTTCCCATAAGCCCTAGGGCAGAACGTCCTACTCTAGCCACTATCATTAATTTGATATACCAGTCATTTGGTTCACCTCTAATTTCCCGTACTCTTTCGTTTATTTTTATCTCTACGAACAAAGCATGTTCTTAAGATTTCAATAACTTTATTAATATCCATTTTACTTGAGTGTGATGTATAACTTCCTTGGAAGGTTTAAGTGACCCAGTCACCAGTTTCCACTCGACAGTTAATAGTATGAAGGTTTGATATTCCGAATACATATAGTTCACGCAAATCCATACCCACACCCAACTGTGCATAGGTCCGTCACGCCTATCTTTGGTGTGCTCCCGTCTTTCTGCCCCACTCCACGTTATCGATCCTGCTGGGCCGTCCCAGTTGTTACTACATGTACCTGGATGATCTCGGACGAACGTGGTCTTTTCTGGCCAGGAGTTGGCGAATGACCTCTTCTGGCATTGATGACGACTGCGCAGAGCGTTTTTTTTCGCTAGGATATTGCAATTGTCAGCTCGACGAGCAATGTGGCCGAGGAAAGAGGTGCTGGCGACGTCGGACTGTTGGTCGTGACGGGAGGCATTCTTGTTCTGTTGGAAAACTCGTTGTTGCTGGAGTCGATTGACTGGACGCCTAAGATCAATCGCTGGCGGTTTTGATGGAATGACTCGAGCAATCTGAGGTCTACTTACAGGGGGGACCAGGAATGACAAAAGTCCTGTGTAATCGGCTTGAAGTTCAGGCATTTTAACCTCCAGATTTTGCATAAGCTGTTGATCATAGCAGATAGTGAGAGACTGAGTCGTCTGAGGATAGACCTATCTGGTTCGCTACGCCCAGTGTTGTAAACCTTACATTCAAGATGCACGAAATCCTCCACAATATCGACAGGCTTGCCGTTGCCATGATGTGAGGGGGATTGTTGCTGTCGTTTTCTGCAAAGAAACCCGGGGCAGCCTCGTTCTGAAACGACTGGAGTACCATTCTCGGGTCACTGATCATGTTACAGATCAGAACGACGTAATTCATATGGTTTATTAGTCAGAAAATAGCAAAAGGCCGAAGCATTAGTCGAAACGTTAGTCAAATATGCGAGAAAACGGGTAAAGGCGTTGACAGTAATGTCCGATAGTTTTGAGTCATTTCGGACTTTTAACCTTCGGACCTATTACGCCGTTGGCATTAAGTCAGACTACTGAATCTTCGGATTCACGAAGCATTTACCCAGTGAACCCCAGGTATAGGAAAGTTATGTGTTTGCACCAACAAACTTCCAGTTTGTAAACCATCGGAATATCGAACCCTTGAACTCCACCAAACATCATACACTTTTACGAACAATCAATGATTTGTCCAGAAAAATGCTATAATGTTCACATCTTTGTAACAATTACAGCATAGAGCGTTTTGATGTCATGCTGTTCTCCCAACTGGAAATCTACTCTAATTTCTGCCGTGACAGCAAGGAGTCAACCCTGTCGTTCAACGCCGAGCAAATACACAAAATGGAGAAGTAAGCGATTGCATTTTGTGTTATTTCAATTAAACATACTCGGGTGGGTATGTTTACATTGCTGCTTCTAAAAAATGTCATGTTGCTGTTATTTCCTTTATCGAAATGTTTTGAGCTTATTTCGGAAATTTCAGTTGACAAACTCACAACTTGAACTTTGACATAGCAGATGCAAAACTTCACCAATGCCTTACACAAATTAAATGCTATATATCATCCATAACAGACGACGGACAACACTCGTATTTTGAATCACCTGAATAGAATTTGCCCGAGTGTACTTTATTTTGAACTCTTGTGCTAAAAGTACTGTTCACTTTCGTCGATAAATGAGTAAATGTTTTCGTAAAGCCTTTCCGGTCGCTTCTGTTCAACACCAATAACCTAAAAAGGTGAAGCAGTGAGTTTAAAAAACCGGCTCCTGCTGGCTATAGTAGGGGAAACGTTAAAATGGCTGACGGCAATTAAACATAAATGTTTTCACGAGTACCTTACTTTTTCTTGCCTGTTTACAGAATCAAATTCAACAACACGTCCCCAAAGATTAGTTCCTTAGTTCGTGATCACTGTGAATCTAACTGGTTTTGCAAACATTCCAGTATGACAAAGTGGCTCAGGTGAGTATTGCTTTGATAGGATCAATGTAAATCTTACGTAAATTGCGTCGAGACGGAATGCCTCCTTATAGTTTAGGTAGTTTATCAGCACTTCTGCTGTCTAATGTCACAAATGGCGTCGTCATTCTCTTTAGAATTGATCAAGAAGAGAACTGTACATTGAAGTTCTGCCGCGTTGCCGATCCTAAAGACAATACGATGTATTCGTTTTACAGAGTATGCACAATATGTATGTCTTTGTCTACAAATTTATATGCAAGAGGTACATCGACCACTTTAATTTGCCTCCGACCAGTGCTTTTGTCCGTTCAGCATTTGTACAACGAAATGGTTGGCTGTGGATTGAGTAGGACCCGTAGATATTAAGGTATACACAGTTATACATTTTTTTCATTTATCATTCAGCCATTTGTCAAATGCATATGTGAATTGTGTGCAACCATATGGTTCTGTAGAAATATTGATCATGCAACCTTTAAAGTAAGAACTGACACGCATGTACGGTCGACTAATATTATGTTTTTATCAAACTACAGCCAAGCCTATTCCTTCAGACAGCAAATCATGGAGGTGGATCAAAGTTTGACGCCCCTGGTATCCGAATTCTCCAGAGAAGAAAGAACTATCTCAGAGGTAATGATATTGCCGACACCAAGACAGAAGATGACAGGTGTATAGGGCTACACTTATAGGCCAGTGTTACATTTAGGCTCATCATTAGGGCCACGTTAGAGTATGTTTCTACAGGGGTGTATGTAGATGCAAACTACATATTGGTAAAGTTGAGGGATGTGGTCTAGTACAGGGACTACATTTAGGTTCGTTTAGGTTGAACAAGGAATAGAGCAACATTTATGTCCCGGCTATAGCATTTACAGACCCAATGGCAACGGATGAAATATATTCTTCAGGCTATCACCGCTGAAAAAGCAGCTGATGCAACCAGGGAGAACAAAGATTGGGTTGACAAAAACGACTGGGAGATAGGATCTTCTCCAACAGAAGTGCTCCTGCTTTGAGAGAGTCCTTGCCAAGCCAGATGACCAGGCAGCAAAAGCAGTCTACAGAAATACGAGCAGCACTGAGCAGAAGAAGGTGCAAGAGATACAGAACAAATGGTAAACTGAACTTGCAGAGCAAACCCAGTTTCATGCTGACTCCGGCAACAGCTGGGTATTTTATGAAGCACTGCAAGCCGTGTATGGCCCAACCCAACAGGTGAAATCCCCCCCCCTCACTGGATGGCAACAGTCACCTCACTGGCAAGAATCTATCCTTAACCGCTGGTCTGAGCACTACGGGAGCCTCTTTGGCGACAAACGGCAGTTGCAAGATGAGTCTATCAGGAAGACAGAACAAGCTGTGAGGTCAAAACTCGACAACCCTCCTACTCAGGAAGAAGTGAGGAAATCCATCGCAAAGCTGAAGTGCCATAAGGCTCCTGGAGTCGATGGCATACCTGCAGAGGTATACAAATCAGGAGGCGACACTCTTCTCGAGAAGCTCACTGACCTGTTCAAGTCATGCTGTGAGAGGGGGTTCGTACCACAAGATCTACGGGACGTTATCATTGTCTCTCTCTCTCTATAAGTACAAAGGCGAGCAGTTCGACTGCAGAAACTACAGAGATGTCACTTTGCCGTCCGTTGCGGGAAAGAATCAGTGTGGACAGACTCACACCCACAGTCGCCGAGGAGAACCTCCCAGAAAGCCAGTGCGGCTTCAGAGCAAACCGAGGCACTGGAGACAGGATATTTTGCCTTGCGTCAGATACAGGTGAAACGCACTGAACAAAACATGGGGCTATTTGCAGTATTCATTGACCTCGCTAAAGCCTTTGACACGGTGAGCCGAGATGGGCTCTGGAAGATCTGTCAAGACTGGGCTACCCTCCTAAGCTCCTCACAATTCTTTGTCAGCTTTACGACGGTCAGATGGGACAAGTGGAACACAGTGGCGACCTCTCTGACCCGTTCCCTGTTTACAATGGTGTCAAACAAGGCTGCGTCGTCGCCCCTACGCTGTTTGCCATCTTCAGCGTGATGCTATCAGAGGACAAGGAGAATTTCACTGAAGGAATCTACGCGTGATTTCGGACCGATGGTAGTGCTTCTGCTACGTACTGCACCTAGGCGTCGTGTTGGAAGTACGCAACAATTTAGTTAGCAGTCCTTTTTCGTGTGAACATGAATGAACATGGAGTATGGTACGCTGAGCCTCTAGTTAACCTGCTTGAGGTTTAGGTAGTTTGTCATCCTGGAAAGCTACTATTGTACAAGAAAAATAGCCCACAGACTGCCCGGCGTTCTCAAAGGGGCATCCACCCTAGTATTTTCAACATGGTCATTACACTGGCGCATCTCTCGTAATTTCCGGTTTCAAAGGGAGTTGCGTTACATTAAATATTCTCTAGTGCAGTTTTATCAGACTTTGAATGCAAGTCCCAGATACTGCTGCAGTATTCTAATTGGGGGCGCACTAATGATTTGTATGCTATTGCCTGAACTTATTCATTGCAACCGTGTAGGTGTCTCTGCAGAAGTCCCAACATACTTGCTGCTTTGGTGTTAATGTTAAACATGTGGTACTTCCATTCCAAGTTTTGTGAAATTACTACTCCCAGTTAAGGGGGTTTTTAGTAATCTCAAGAGGAATGCTATCCATTTGCACTGGTAAGACAAAATGGATAGTGTCTTCAACTTCAAAAGACTTATAACCCACACCAAGACACTTGAAGAGCGGAACCTGGAACTGCTTAATGCAGATGACTGTGCCCTTCTTGCATACAGTGAGGAAGCCCTTCGGGCAGTTGTCAAAAGCTTTAATTTGCAGTATCAGCGAAGGCCTTTGGCCTTACCATCAGCTTGAAGAAGAGGGAAGTGCTGCACCAGAAAGCTCTTCGTGGTAACTACATCCTTCCTAGTATCAGCATCGACGGGACAGTGCTCAACACCATTCAACGCTTCATTTACCTCGGGAGCATCGTTTGCAACGATGCAGCCGTGACCAAGGACATTGACAACCGGCTTGCTAAAGCAAGCAGCTCTTTCGGCCGCCTGCAGAAGCGCGTCTTGAAGAATCATTCTCTGCGCCTGTCAACAAAGGGGATGGTGTGCAGAGCTGTAGTCGTCACTGCTCTCCTGTCTGGACGTGAAGCCTGGGTCCTGTACCAGAAACAGGTGCGGCTTCTGGAACGGTTTCACGAACGGTGCCTTCGATCCATCATGGACATCAAGTGGCAGGACCATGTGACCAACATCAACGTCCTTGAGCGAGCCAACATTCCAAGCATGGAGACCATCGTTATGACCAGACAACTCCGCTGGGCGGCACACCTGTCACGCATGGAGGACACGTGAATGCCCAAAGTGGTGCTCTACGGGAGCTGCGCCAAGGCAAGCGTGACGGAGGAGCTCCACGAAAACGCTTCAAAGACCAACTCAAGCGACAGCTCAGCGCATCCAACATCCAAGAGAAGGACTGGGAAACCTTTGCAACGGGATAGTAGAGATGGGTGGAGGGTAGTGACAAAGCGAGGGGCCAAGGCCTTTGAAAACACAAAGAAAGAAGCTGCAGAGGATAAGCGCAGACGTAGGAAGACATCTTCTGCCCAGAGCCCCACCGCCCAAGTATTCCCATGCCCGGGGTGTTCCAGAGCGTGCCGCTCTAGGATCGGCCTCCATAGTCACCTGAAGGTGTGCCAGCGACTTCCTCCCCATTGAACCTCGGATTCGAGGAACCAGCCATCATCATCACAGCATTTAGGTACACGTACTGTGTTTGGTGGTACATGTACATTAAGCCCCATTAGCTACATTTAAGCACAGAATTGGGGCTGCATTAAGTGTGGTAACCCGCAGTTAGGTCTAGGCCTACATGTAGGCCTGAGCTACATTTGAGCGAAAGGCGTTGGCTATCTGGGAACAGGGCCGGGACTACATAGGGCTCAGGCCACGCATAGGAAGAGGTTTGAAGGAGTGTCTGTACAATGTACAGTGTCAAATGATGCAGGTTTGGAGCTAAATAATAGAAACAGGTTTAGGGCAATGGCCGCAACGTATACAGGGTTCGGGCTATATCAGCTAGACCAGGGTTACAGATGTAGGGATGGTTCTACATTAGGGCTTTTGTGGCCCAGAACACACGAGGATTGCTTTTGTTCCTCACAGATAATTGTGGCTTTTGTATTTTGTTGTTTAACCGTCATTTGTCCTTTTGCAGTTGGGAGAAAGATGCCGCGAGGGACTAAAGAGCATTGAGAGTGCAATTTCAGAGTGTACATCTGCAAAGAACTTCTGCGTAAAGTCTCAAGTTCAGGTGAGTTGTTACTCCAATATTGCTCTTCAGCTAATATAAGGTACTGATATCTCAGTCTGTTAATGTGACACACGGGGAAGGAATATGTCGTATATGATTGTCTGTCTCCCGAATGTGCCTTGATAACTGAAATCTAAAATCCATTGTAAAAGCACGCAAACGTACAGCATGACTTCCAACTGCAGACGGATTGGGCTAATTTTATGAGAAACAATAAGTCGAACAAATAAATGACTTGAAATTTCGTTTGTCCACTGCTTCTGTTGGATGGATTTCGTGTGGCCCGTTAAATTAGTTCTGCCTGCTTAGGTTGCGCGTTTTCACGTTGCGTTGAGGCAAAGTAACGTCAATTATATCCTTTAGTTATTCGACGGTACAGCCGGCTGAAATGTTTAGCACAATTCAAAATAATGTAGTCCCACGCAACTGATAAGCCCCCAGGATTCAGTCGAAAGACTGCCAACTGTTTGTTCACTTCATGTTCATTACGACTCTTTCTGACCCCTCTCCCTTTTTGTTCCAGGATGAGAAACCTCCTACGAGGGCTTGTACTTCTGCGACTTCACAAACATCTTTAAATCATGAAAGGGAATTCCACGAGGCGATCACGCAGACCCCATGGATTGTTAATGTCTTCAGAACAGACAAGTATCCTACCGTGCACATGGTCCCAGTGACAAGCGACTTGAGAAAGGAGTAAGTCTTGTATAGGCCTAATTGCAATTTCTGCAGTCGAGGCGAGGATAGAGTCTATTATGGGTGTAAACTAGCTTTTCGTAGTGCCATCACCTTTAAAACAAATAATTGATCGTGTGTTGCATTCGACCGAGTCATATCGAATCCTCCCTCAATGTTTCTCCTTTTTGCATTTTTACCTATTATAATGTGTATTGTTGTTCGAGTCGGAAGGAATGTGATTGTTATTTGAGTTCTTCTCTTATCGTCAACGGGGTCACGATTCCAACCTGCAGGAAGTCAGAGTTTGTTACAGTCAGAGCAGGTCTCCATAATTATGTTCAGTTAACGAGCCACTCCATTAACAATCTTTCCCACTTTTGGTTTTCCTTTTTGAACGCTCAGATTCTTGGAGTGGATTCGAGAAAAACCAGTCACGGAAGCCGTCGTCAAGAAGAGTCAGGACGTGACGGAAGAAATGCAGAATATGTCGCTAGATCTCTCTGATCCTTGCCTGGACATGTACGGATGCTGAGCGTGCATACCACACAATGGAGGAAGACGACTCCAGGCAGACGTGGCTCACAGGGGGTGGGGACACTTCCCTCCCCATAAAACGTTACACAAAACTTAGTTTCCAGCTACACAAAGCTCCCCAATAACATTTTATGATATTAATTTTGTACCAGTTGGTGACAAATGTAGTCTGCAAAATTATTCACAAAGTGTCAGAAACATCAATGACGTATCAACACGCAGTACAATAAATCGTTCGCGGCCCCACAAAGTGACCTCTACCGATTAAAAGACAAACTTGAGATTTCAGTTCCTTCTGATCTTACAATAGAACAAAAAACCCTGAAAATATCGAATTAAAATAGGTTTATTTTTCTTGAAATATACATGTCTAATTTGCCGCTCCAGTCTCACTACGTGGCCTGAGTATCTCAATCTTTGTTAGTTTCGACAAAAGTCGATTTAGTATTGCCCTTGTTTGCTTCGATCATTTCTACTTAGATTGTTATATTGCTTTCAGTTTGGATTGTAAGAGTGAATATTACCCATGTTTTTTCATTGCGCTGAGAATTTTGGTACATATATACGCAGTTAATCCATGGAGACTTTTGTGAAATATGCTATTTGGCTTTATTTTTACTCAAATGGTAATGATGAAGAAGGCAAGAATCAAGTATCACCTGCATAATCTGCTAAATAGGAATTTCATCCAGATGTTGACTGCATTTGACTTTATAATGCAATTAAAAATGTAAGTGCGATTTTGACGCCTCGCTAAGTGTATGTCGCTAAACCGATGTTGATGCACAGTTCATGTCAAGAATATTTTAAAATTAGCACCGACTTTATTTTATAGAGTAAACGTCCTTTCCCTTTTGTTACTTTTTTGAGTTCTGCATGCGGTGAAAGGACAAAATAAGATTGAATAGTTCACCGAAGACCTCTTCACCTTCGCATTTAAAATCCACTTAGCCAGTTCAGAAAAATCGTTTGAAGCACAATGAACTACAAGCTATCGTACAGTTCCAAACTACTAAGGTCTTTCCCTGGAAAGAACAATGAGAAGTTTAACCATGTTTTTATATTAAACGTAAAAACAGGTCACGTAGTGAAACTAGCAAGAAAGTTTTGTGAGAATACTTGGAAAAGTAGGAAATTCAAAATTCTAAGATAGTAAAGATTTCATTGTTTACGACCTGCAAATGTATTAATTTTCTAATATCGGCATGGGTCACTTCGAGGGACCAGCGACGAAATCTGTGCATTTTCATACTTAATAATGGACTAAACACTGCACTCTTCGAGGCCGGTGGCGCAAAACGTACTACCAACGAAGACTAAACATTTGTCAGACTTGGCAGTCCGTGTACCATCCAGTATCTCGTGTGTTTTCCTCTACTCATGTAGAAAGGAATACCTTTAGAGCAATTCTTCTGGGTAGTGACTTGGATTAAGACCGGATGAGGCGTGGTTGACTCAACATAAGTGGAATAGTTAAATACCATTCTGAAATGTTCCTGGGAGACGATTAAGTAATTTTCAAAGAGTGGATGATGTCATGATCACTTCCTTCTTTAATATTTTCTTTGCACTAACGTATTTCTCACGTTTAAGGTTTCAGCACGTTATATTTGTAACACTGTTCGATATAATTAGAAGGGAGAACCATAGGTGACACGATAAATATTTTATATTTTACATTAAATGTATTCTTAGCCGTAAAACGAAATGTGCATTTCATGATCGATTCTTGCTCCGAATTGAATGGCAAGACGGTGACCAGGATCAAGGAAGGAATAAACGCGCGTGGGATCTATGACAAGCATTCTTTCGACGGTTGCAAAAACAGAGTGGTTCATTTTGCGCCAACCGAGCGCCTCCATATGAAAAGGTGACGTCGAAGAGGGGAATGCTCGCCTTCTTCATGTATACACGGAATATTTATGATAGGCATAAAAGTCCAGGTTGACCTGAAGAGAAAACTGAATTTCATCGGGCGAATCGCAGGTTTTAAGTGCAAGCTTCACTTCGGTCAAGTTTAATACAATTACCCATCATTTTATGACAATATTTTCAAAATACATCTATATTAATGGACTTTGAGAAAGATTAGATAAATATAACCCCTGTGAATTAAGGACTATGCTGATAATCTTGAACAACTTTTTATAATCATTCATAAACATTTTATTTAGACACAATGTAATCCCTTAGTTATTAAGCTATCAACATGTAGTTCAAGGTTGGATGGGTTTTAATGTTTCTCCCTTTGAATTATACCAAACATACTCTGGTGACTATTAACCATATTAACTATATTCATAGTAAGCAATACAAGGGGCGCCTCTCATTTCTGACCGTCTTTTCGTTGACATTAATTAGCATCAATAAGGGGCCTAGGTTATTTTGGCAATATCCTGACAGAAAACCTGTCACAAATTCCGTCTCAAATACCAAATTTCACTTACCATGAATTCTTAGCATGCAGTTCGACTTCATTCGGTGGAATCTTCGTGCGCTTCGTGATGAAAAAAATCAATATGACAACATAATTGTGCATACTTAAATTCATGTGTGTCAGATAATTCTAACCTCAACAAACTAACTCATGCACAGACTTGCCAAAGGACATAACAACATTGAACCTTGGAGGCGGGAATAAAGTTGTAAAGATTGCGATTCTGTCGATGGCCACGATTGATTCATATGGGTAGAAGGTCAAACAGCTTAGAACCAGACGGATATGTTTCTTGAGGTCAAGAATACACGAGAACAAAGCAGTTCACATTTAAAATGTGAAAACTTGAACAGAAAATGTGAGAACTCCTGTACAGCTCGATCTGCTTTTTGTCGTCATCCTATATTGTGTGAATACAGCGCTTTTTAATAGTTAGTAAAAGCTTGAAATTGACGTTGATTTTTTTTGTTTGGTGTATATTTGTGGTTGTTGTCTGTGGTGAACAAACTTTGTATTGTAAGTGATTTTCTACAAAAATAGACGTGGCCGAACCTTCAAAAGTGGCCAACACCCGAACAGAAGTTTTAATATTTAGACCGATTGTGGTGTGCACAAAACATGACTCAAACTATCGAATACCAAATATTTACAAGATGTGAATTGTACTTGGGAATATGTTTGTGCAACTATTCCACTAATCCTAAATGTAACCAAACTATCTGACATCGCTTTTTGGTTACGTTTAATGCGAAGTACAATAATATTTGAAATTAAAAAAGGTTAAATGGATGGGCAGGAAGGAAGTGTGGTGGGCCGGGAACCCCGAAGAGTCCTATATGGTGGCAGTAACTGCAATTCCTTGCGAATTTCAGGAGTCCGTGCGCCTGAATGCTTGGTCAACACCGCATAACTTTTGGATTTTCCCTCGCTGTCTTTTTTTCTCTTAAAATGGCTGCTTTTCTGGGCACTAAAATTTCCTTCATGTCAGCTTTGGGGGAGAATTTCTCAAACATTCTGTGGTGAACCCACTGAAAATTGAAAGGAGAACGAAAGAGATCATGTCGAGCATCAGTTTTCTGTCTAGCCTGGACACCTGTGACAGTTGTGAGAATACATTTGGGGGGGATTTAGAATAGGGATTTTATCACTGGTGTCTATGGAAATGCATTTACCCCGAAATAAAGCCTGAAAGTTCACTCACCTTCCGGAACCGTCGGATAGGAAATATAAAGAGCAAAAAAATAGCATTTGCAAATTTTTGCCGTTTGTTTACTTCATGAAAAAAATCACATTGGAAAAGGGCCTTTGTAAAGCAAACATAAAAGCTAGCATATTAATTTATAGAAACTGAAAAGTTACCTGACCTAAAAGAGAAATGTACTGCCATAAACTGACCCTTCGCTTCCGAATATCTAAAATACATGAAGACTAGTGCAATTCGGTGTTCTCGTACGGAGATGAACAGTCACGAAATTGTATTTTATCGTAGTCTTTTGGTAAAAATTAAATCACAAACAGACCAAAATATTTTAAGAATTTTACAATTTTTAAGGAAATAAACTAAAAGGATAATAAGCGTCTACAGAAGATTCGGAAGTTGAATCTAACCTTTGCTGTCAAGAACTGCGTTAGGTCAACTTGACTGAATCTAGAACCCATCGACTGCAGGTAGGTAAATCTTTGCAGCGTTGTACAAACCCTGAAACAAACTATATAAGGAAACTGTCTGTAGGCGCTAACGCATAATTTATAAAGATGAACAAAGAAATTTAAACCTGCGACCTCCGGCATACTGTACCGGTTCTCGACCAACTGAACTATCCAGCCCTATGTTGGTGGCTCTTCCCATTCGTCAACTATCTTGGTTAAGGGCGCTGGTCAGTAGCCATGTAGCCTGAAACACCGCGTAGCCATGGATCACGCCCCAATTATACACGATGCAACCTAGTGAGTGGTGAACAGGGATCACTCGAGGAGGATGCAGCAACACAACGTACGTATAACCAATGTGGGGCTGGATACCTCAGTTGGTAGAACACCGATTCAAATCCCGCTCAAGTCAATTTCTTTGTTCATTTTTACAAGTTTGTACAATCCCGTTTTCACGTAAGCACATTAAATGAAAACGAAGGTGTACGATCAAGGCAACCTAGAAACGATATTGCTGGATGTAAAAGTCGGAAATAGTGATTTTTTTTTGTTTGTTAACCAATCTCCAGGGGAATTTCCGAAATGTTTCTTGAAGAACACGAAGGTAAAATTTCGGCGTGAGTGTTTCTTGGGCTGGTTTCAGGAATCATTTTCCGAATATATTAAATCCAGTGTGATAAACGACCCTTTGAAAAATCCCCATCGACGGACCACGGGAGGGTTCCTGAAGCTCACGGAGTGACCTTTTATTTTTTAGGCTCTATACTGTGGAAAAAGAGTTTGTGTGTCTGCTGCCACCAGCATCTCAAATTAAAAGTCAGATAAGTTTTGCTCATCTTGCGAGTGAATGATTATTTCACTTGTAATTTCAGAAGTACGCCCTCTTTTGGGAGACACGTCACAGAAGGTGCACTTGGAACACAGGTACATATATTTTTGTTCATTAACGGGTAGTCCAGAATTTGCGTATGCTCAAAAGAAGAGGATGCAAACATATCGCACTCCATGTGTACAGGTGTTAGGTGCAAGCAGGGCAGTATTTCGGGTGGGCCAAAGGCTCTGTACGCCATATACAAGGACGGATCGAGACCCAAATTTTCTGGGTTAGGGGCAAACTTTTTTTCGGAAGGGGGGGGGGAATTTTGACATTTTTTTTCATGGAAACTTTTATAACCTTTCTTTGGGGTGAGACTACATTTAGGGCCTTTCACGCGCTTTGGAAAGAGGGGCGATGGAATAGATCACAAAGACGCCCTTTTCTGTCAATGTATTTCAAATAAAATTTAGGACTTCTTTCGGGGGACGTGACCTTCTTTGCGACTCCCCACGGATCCATCCTTGCCCTTACAGGCACCGTAATTCCGTAGGTCCAACTCTGTTCAGGGTACAACACTGACAGAGCCAAGTGTTTTGTGATGATGCGAAGCAGCACGTAGTGAACTAGCTAGTTGAAAGCTTCGCCAAATTAAAAATTCAGACAGCGATGGTTGATCTGTCTTGTCTATGGCACACTAAATAAATCTAAATTTAGTAAATAATCCGGCCTGGGTGCAAGCCATTGCTTATGTGTATTGCCCACGCGAAATGTTTTTTCCCTGAGATTGTTACGCAATAAGAGGACTTTCTCATAATTATTTAGTAATTATGAGCAAGGCCACTGATCGCGTATTTCATACCTAAAAAGGCCAGCTTGTATACATAAAAAAATCTTGGTAAATTATCATACTCAGTCTTTTTTTATTCGTTTCTGTTTGTTAATTAAATCTCGTTTTTTCCTGCTTTTGATCCTGGCATGGTAATATAAGCCCTCGGCTCCTGCCTATGCCACAATATTGCTCTGTGCAATATTTTCTTTGTTCCTGACTTTTAAGTCATATTCTTTATTTCTTTATTTACTTAACGTTATATAATTTGATGTTCCTCATTTAGACAATCACTTTGTGTAACGTACTTCTTGACTGACTTTCCTCTCGTCATTTTTGGACATATGGAAGTAAATGTGTTTATCAATGGACAAACAACGAATATGTCTGCAAGGCGTAACAGTACTTCGTGCATGGTTCTGAACATTGAAAATGACTTACATACGCTTATTCCTTTTACATGATATTCGGAACGCAAAACTTTATTAATGTATGGTCATGCATTCCATGCACACTAGAACTAAGAAATAAGCCGTCACCTGCGCCCACGGGAAGAGATTTTGTAACAAGAATGGTGTTTTTATCAGGGCCTTCCTGTAGCCCTTCATCATTCAAAAAGTCAAAGCACAGTGGCTGAAAAATGAAAACATTCAACTTAACATTCATGAAAAAGGAGTTACATAGAGAGAAACGTACCAACTCTGAGTTCAAGTTTGAAGTCCTACAACGCGCATCCCACACACAACGTTTCAACATCGTGTTCTTTAAGCTGTGAAATCACTTTTGCGGCACCTTTGTGGTTTGTTCCGAAGGGGCATAAAAATTAGAGATGCCTCTTCACCCACTCATGGAGAAGTTTTGTCTTTGGGCATTTTGGAGATATTACGCACCTCTGGAAAAGACCTCCGGTACTGATCCACCAAATTCATACCGCAGATCGGCGTCTGAAAATCAAATTTTCTGGCCAGCCAAGCTCCGAGGCAGTCAGTACCCGTGACGGGAGCGGTCATCGCTAATAATCACGCATTGTTTGCTCAGATGGGCCAGACGCTGGTATTCCTTTGTTCGTCTCCAGTCGCCGCCTCTGTTCTGCCATCTCTCGGCCGGCCACCTTTCATCTTTTCCTCTTCCCCCAACTCTAATCGGCCGGGGTCGGTGGGATTTCGCGGCTTCGTCGCTGCCCGCTGGCGGGACAAAGGGTAGCGGTGCGGCCCAGCTATTAGATTGCCTCAATTATGTCAGGGTCAGGGATTTTTTGAGTGACAGTTTGATCAGCGGATAGCCTGTAAAAATGCCGACTATTGTTGTGTCGCCACTGTAACGAAGCTCACTGATTCACCGGCTGTTGGTCCCTCGGGCCAAGATGACAATGTTCAGGAGACAGATTTAATTAAGTGGATCTGCATTGGTAAAATATGCTTTCCTTTAATTTTTTAAGGTGAAGAAAAAAATTGTTTCCACAAACCTCCACTTTTCGGAACACTGAATTCCATTCAAATTAAGTTGCAATGGTATAATTTCGTCACTTTCATTGCCGATTTGTTTCATTATCTGCAATAAACTTGCCCCAGTAAAGAGATTTGTCTCTAGCCTCCCTGCTGAAATTTTCCGGAAACTTCCTCTCATCGAAGGATGATACGAATTGGATTTTTAAAAAAAGCATCGTATTACTTTTACAACAAACACGTTTACTTAAGACTTCAAAAAAGCATTATTCGATTCTTTTTTTTCCAGAGATGGCTGTCCAAGGACGGGTCCAGAGGGGTCGAAGGGGCCATTTTTATTTTGAAAAATAATAAAAGAAAGGCGGTTTCTTTTCTTTCCCCTCTTTCCAAAAGTGCAGGTGTGACATTTCCCTATGCTTTTGTTTCAGTTATTGTTCGTATGTGGGGGAGGCTGTTCTAGCAGGAGTGATCAAAACGTCAATGATACTGCTTATTGTCAAGATAACCATCATTTTGGCAAAAGGGGTGAGTTACTGGGTCCCGACCCACAGGAATGAAATAAATTACCATGCATCGTTTCCTGCGTTTTGTGAATATTCACACCTGCAGATGGCCGCCCCAAAGTGGTGTATTCTCGACCCGAATTCATTTGCAATAGTTCTGACTGGTTTTAGCCAAGAATAAACAAACTCTGTTTGTCCTCTCCTTCAAGTTAAAAT